AGCAGAACTGAATGAGTGACCCAAGTAGAGCTGAATGGCCTAAAAATGATCTATTATTTCTTATTGAGACTGACTAACAGTTCTTTCATAATTCTCCATTTCCATGACAAAATAATATGGATGTATGGATAATATTGATATAAAATGAAAGGATTATAAACTATCTGAACAAATGATAGGACATACAGCTGTATATTTTTGGAACTATATTACTTTATCACAGTATTATTTTCTAGCAAGCAAGACTTGCTATACCATTCTGTTGGTTATATTTGCCTTGTATGGGTTATCTGAGATTTTCTTGAGGGGGAAAGAGATAAAGAGAGAGAGACAGTTCTTGGTTACATTTACCCCTCTGGCTTTGAGTAACTCAGGGATAAGAGTTTAATGTCAGATAGGAAAGTTATCTGCAGAGAGCTGAAGGACTGACAGGTCAATGTGCAATCTCATTTTTACAGTGATACTATAAATACAACATTAACATGGAAATTTGAATCATTTTCATTGAAAACCACCTGCTTAATATTGTGTAGGTCCCCCTTGTACCACCAAAACAGCTCTGACCAATCAAGTCATGGACTCCACAAGACCTCTGAAGGTGTGCTGTGGTAATTGGCACCATGATGTTAGCAGCAGATCCTTTTAAGTCCTGTAAGTTGCGAGGTTGTGCCTCCATGGTTTAGACTTGTTTGTTCATCCTACAGATGCTCGATCAGATTGAGATCTGGGGAATTTCGAGGCCAAGTCAACACCTTGAACTCTTACTAGAATGTGTCAAAGTAACATCCCCATGAATGACAGGACCCAAGGTTTCCCAGCAGAACATTGCACAGAGCATTGCACTGCCTCTGCCAGCTTGCCTTCTTCCCATAGTGCACCCTGGTGCCATCTCTTCTCCAGGTAAGTGACGCACACACACCTGGTTTATATCCACATGATATGAAAGAAAACATGATTCATCAGACCAGGCCATCTTCTTCCATTGCTCCATGGTCCAGTTCTGATGCTCATGTGCCCATTGTAGGCGCTTTTGGCGGCGGACAGGGGTCAGCATGGGCACTCTGACCAGTCTGCGGCTACACAGTCCCATAAGCTGTGGTAAGCTGTGGTGGACTGTGTGTTCTTCCGCCTTTCTATCATAGCCAGCATTAACTTTATCAGCAGTTTGTGCTACAGAAGCTTTTCTGTGGGATCAGAGCAGACGGGCTAGCCTTCGCTCCCCACGCACATCAATGAGCCATGGGTGCCCATGACCCTGTCGCCAGTTCACCAGTTGTCCTTCTTTGGACCACTTTTGGTAGGTACTAACCACTGCATACCGGGAACACCCCACAAGACCTGCCGTTTTGGAGATGATCACAATTTGGCCCTTGTCAGTGTTGCTTAGATCCTTAAGCTTGCCAATTTTTCCTGCTTCCAACACATCAACTTTGAGAACTGATTGTTCACTTGCTGTCTAATATATCCCACCCCTTGACAGGTGCCACTGTAACAAGATAAACAATGTTATTCACTTCACCTTGTCAGTGGTTTTAATGTTATGGCTAGTCAGTTTATATACATACATGACATGGAACCGTTTGTTGAGCTATTTGAGAGTGCCGCGGAAGCATGGGGCTGGCCAGATTTACAGTGGGTGGACTGCTACTACTATTGCCGCTACTGTCGGGGGTCGTGAACCTGCTGGAGTACCCAGACCTGAACCAGGCTATTTTGCAACTGGTTGGCTGCACCCCCCAAACAGCACCGTCAGAGCTTCCGCTCGCTGATGCTCAGTGAGCTTGGCTGCCTGTTCGCATTCGCCCAACAGCTCAGAGACCCATTGAAGGTGGCTGCTGGCAGAGGAGCGCAGTGCTGAAGTTATAGTCGACCTAGTGGTGCTGGAGAAGTTCATCACCCAGCTACTGAGAGGGCTCGAACCCCTATTATTTACAGTACGAGAGGTGCTGTAAGCCTCCACAGGGTTCTCCTTGTTTGAATTACTATATGGGTGCAGCATCTTAGATGTCGTCAAACAAAACTGGGAGGAGGGACCTTTGGAGAGCAAGAGTGAAATTCAGTATGTTCTTGACCTATGAGCAAAACTCCACACATTGGGGCAATTAACACAGGCAAATTTGCTACAGACTCAAGAATTTCAATCCCGGCTGTATAATAGGGGAGCTCAGCTACGTGAGTTTTCACAGGGACATAAAGTGCTCATATTATTACCCACATCAAGCTCCAAATTACTCAAAAGTGGCAAGGGCCCTTCGAGGTCACATGGC